ATAACTATATATATAGAAAATTGTACAAAATATATATACAAGTCAAAAATTATTTTCCATATATATATATATATAAAATCTTGGACACTTTTACCAAATCTCTGACGACTCGTTATAATCTCATACGCAATCTTTGCCTACTATTTATTTATTTGTTTGTTTATAAAATATATATTTATTCATGAAAAAAAAAAAAGATGAAGGAAGAAGCAAGAAATTAAATATTCTCATTTTTGCTCTCCCATGAGTGGATTATACAATTTGAACTTCCCAAACTACATGCTAAATTATACATCAATACACATAGTAACATTTCTATCTATCTATCCTTCTTTCAAAATATAATAAGTAGGTAAAAACTAACTGAACATATATAGATTGAGCTAGAGCTAGAACAACACAAAACAATTTGTATAAATTGTTCGTAATTAACTAAAAAAAATTGATAATATATTCATCGCTAAATAAGATTACTGACTAGCTAATTTTGATGTTTAACTACAAAATTTGTCTGTTGCTAATAATATTATTTTTAATTTCTTTTAGTAGTGAAATTAAAGATTGAAATAAAGGGTAGAAAGAAGCAAATGAAGATGATTGAATGATCAAAATATAAAATACATAATTACCAGGGAGGTCCCAAGGCTCAGACTTATTGAGATCAACATCAGTAATAGCTCTAGCAGTGAAGTTGAAATCAGAAACTTTATTATTCAGATAATAAGTAATGAGTTCTTCATCTGTTGGATGGAACCTGAACCCTGGAGGAAGATTTTCCTCCATTATATGACAATCTTGTTTAATTAATTTTCTAAGGCAAATTAAAAGTACGGATGTAAATAAGATGCCTATTATATATATGTTGTAAAGCTGCGTTAATTTCTATGCACAATTTTTAATAATTAATATTACAGCTATCGTATATTGACAAAGATAGTGTATATACCAGGATTTTCATTTGATTTTGTCTTTATTATAATGCCACTATATGAAGTGAGGTGGCTACTCACCTCTACCCCTCTAAAATGACACAATTAGGGTTGATGTCAAAATTAATTAATTAGTATTACTAAAAATGTGTTTAAATGAATATAACAATAATATATTTTGTGAAATTTCAGAAGTGGGGTTTGAGAAGGTAAACTGTATGCTGACAATGGCGGAATCAAAAAATTTATTGAGGAGGTTAAAAAAAATATTAAGAAAATATTTACCATTTATTATAGCAATAACATTTTTTCTTCACTTGATCACTTTTAATATATTTATAATACAATTTTAATACAAATTACAGAGAAGTGAGAACAATTTATAAAACACATATAATACAAGTTTTATTGATGGATAATACATTTTTCACACATTTTAATACAATGTGTCGATTTCTTACCAAACAAGCACAATATATTTTAAAATAGTTATAATACATATATATTGCATACATAATTCACTTTTAATACATATTGTAGATTTATAATAGTATTGCTATGTATTGCTAAAAATGGTAATAAATACTAAAATCAGTAATTATTTATTAAAAGGTACCCATCCAAGTAATATAGTCCCTTACTTGAGTTGAGGGGGTTCAATATTAAATATGTAGACATAAAATATAAATTCAATCTTATATACACACTATAATTTTTTGACTCAGGGGGTTCAGGTGAACCCCTGAACTCCATGTAGATCCCCCTTCTGTACGCATACTTTATCTCTACATCGTATATGTAGAAAAATTGTTTCTGATTGACCATCAACTCAAGTAATGCATCTCAAAGCAATTTGAAAAATGGAATACGAAAATGATTTTACATATTAATTAAGTAATTTTCAAATTATTTTAATGGAGAAGAGACTAAAATACGTTGAACTATGAAATTTGGTACAATATTGTCGTCCATCCACCTTATGAGTGTAGACCGTTAGAAATAAGAGTATTTTTTGCCCGAATGGTTAATAATGTCAAGGAATTTTCACCCAAAAAGTAAATATAGGGTAATATTATACCAAATCTAATAGTTCAAAAGTATTTGAGGCACTTCTCCAAATTTAATTTGTATCTGGGATAATCATACTTTAGGTCTATCTATATAAATTTTTATTTCACTCGTTATGATATTTATTTGACTTCATATATTTAATCTTCAATAAATTAAAAAAATATGCTTTTAATTCTTTTATATAGAAAAATATATTATATTTAAATTACTTTTGAAATTATATTATCCGCAAATATATATTGATCAACAAATCAACAATACATACTTAACATTGCACATTGTCAATAAAATAGTCTAATTATTGATATATAACTCTGTAAATTTAGAATGACTCGCAATCAAGAGGATGAAAAAGTGCATCACTTCAACTAATTAAAGGTTCAATGTACTTAAGTCAAATATCATAATGGATAAAAATAAAATTTACTTATATTTGAGAAATCAAAATTAAAGTGTTTCTCTTTTTATTTTAATTTACGTGACATTTTTCTTCGTGAGTATAAAAAAATGACTTCTTTGTATATTTGAAAATAGATAAAAGTTTCCTTTAATTTATTGGAGTTGGAACAAAAATACTTACTGTCCATCTATTTAGCCAAAAATATCCCCAACATTTTCATTTTGGCCCAAAAGTGCCTTGAAAGCTAACACACAATCTAAATAAAACGAACAAAGGATCAGAACTTCCCATGATCTATTATTGGATTTGGTTGAAAATGCCATTGTGAACACATATCAAATTAAATGACCCTTAACTTGCTAAAATAAGTATTTAAAAAAAAAACACTTTTTGACTTGTCAAAAACTTGGCCAAAAAGAATAGTAATATTAGATATATTTATAATGTACCCCACTATTTTTAAATCTTATGATTTTAAATATGGATATGCAATGTTAGAGTTAAGAGTGTTACTCGCTCAACTATCTCAATCAGAGTTATATTAATTCAAAATTTCAAATATCTGAATGATAAAAGTTAACATGTCTGAAAATCTCTAATTGCGGCTATTGAGCCACAAAAAGTAGCATATGTGCATGTATCAATTTCTTGGTATTTTAAACCTATAATAATTAATAGATTTTAGCAACAAAATATCATTAGAGGCATGTTAAAATTTTCAAGAAATCAACATTGGCTAGTTATATTAGTGTGCAAATGTGGGATTTTTTTTAGTTTAAGTATGGTTGAGTTATAGAATTGAAAGTAGAGTATGCAAAATGTTAGTATTGTTTTTCTTATTTTTGTTGTTGTAGATATAGTTGTAGTGTTCTTAATTATATGCTAACAACATGCATTTGTTAGTAAAAGTATTTATTTATTTATTTTAAAAAAACATATATACTTACTTAATAAGTTTTATATTTAGTAATAATTTAGCTTTAAACTTCCAATTTTACATTTACTAATTTATAGCTATACATTTTATTTATAACTTATTTTATAACAAACTTAAAATATTTGGAAATTTTTTGCTTGATCAAATATCTAATTTACAAGTAATTGAGATATTGTTTAAGTTGCATAGCCAACAACCTCACCAAATTTTACCCACTTTGCTCCAATGTGAACCCAAAATCCTTTTCGTCATCCTCAGTGTTTTTATTCACACTTGTTTTTTCCCTTCTCCTTTTACCCCCAATTTATTCACACCAAGCTGCTACACCATATCAAATTAATTTATGTTACCGTACGTAGTTAATTGATGATACTCTCTCCGTTTTAATTTATTTATTTAATGAAATATAAAAAAGTAAGATTTTTTTTTAAAATCTTGTGGTTGTAAACGGAAGATATGTAGAATGTATTCTATCACATGTTGTTTAATTTGTAGTCTTAAACACATCATGTGAGAAGCTAAAATAAAAGATTTTTCAAAAAAAGGAAAAAGACAATCATTTTAAAACCGATTAAAAATAGGGATAAGTGTCAAAAACACACCTAAACTATCCTTTAAACTATTGAGAGTGTGAGTTTCATACCTACATTATCACTTATTAGTTTGAGAAACACACCTCTATCTTTTATAATACATACCCAAGTATAGCCAGGTTTTTTTCCAAAACCAAATCAAGTTAAATCAAAATCATTAGTCGGATTTTTTTTATTTGACTCAATTAGCGGTTTAGTTTAATTTTCGGTTCAATTTTATACACCCCTACTCATAATCATCACACCCTATGTATGGTTGATTCACGTATGGCATTTAATATCTTAACTTGATCAAGCGTATTTAATTTCTTAAATTTTTATTGTGATTCTAGCATTGTTTAATTTATCGAAAAATTCATTATTTTGATTTAACAATAAAATTTGAATAAATAGGTTAAAGGTAGTAGGTTAAGATCGATCAAGTTTGTTTCCTCTAGGCTAGAACACCAAGGGGATTTCTTAATACAAGAGTTTAATCTACTAGAATGGAAAGCAAGATTCGAACAAGGCAAGAATCATTATTCTATGTTCTAAGGGAAGAAGATAAAAAAATTAATATGTTTTTTCTTGGGGTTTTCTCCGATGCCTCCTATTCTCTCAAGAGACTCATTTTATAGGTCATAAAAGTTGAATCGTCACCTTTATATGAAATATTGATTACACATTGTTGGGTATAACAAGAGTTAATGAGAAATGGAGGGAAGATGAAAAGAGGAATTGAAAAAGATTCCCTTATGCTTTAAGAAAAGGCATTTCTCCCTCATTGGTGATGGAAAGAAAAATTGAAGTGTTTAAATAGAGAAACACTTCTACTGGTTGTTAAAAGGGTTAGAAGGAGGGACCCCTCTCGCGCCGTCGTTCGGCTCGGCTTCGGCTTCATGATCGATCGAGAGATTATTTTTGGACAAAGTTTGTTTTAATTATTTAATTAATTAATTAAATTAAATTAAATGGCCAAAACGTTTCAATTATTTAGTTAATTAACCGAAACGTTTCGACCCGACTCAGATCCGCGCGCCCCATTTATTTAAAACACTTTCCCTTTTTATTTGAATTTTCTGCCATTGGAGATGACTGTTCTGAAAGGTTGCAACTTTCAGGAACAGCCAGGACCGTTTGAAAGGTTGCAAACTTTCATAAATGGTCGTGTGGTTTCTGAAAGGTTGCAACCTTTCGGAACCAGTTCCTCTTGTCTATAAATATTTACCTTTGATTCCTCAGATTACTACTTACGAAAATTTTGAATTGTTCTTCTTCTTCCGCACAAAACTTAATCGTGTACTTTACTGCCGTTGAGTGGCTCGCTGACACCAGAGTTTTGGGTATCAATACACTAGTGATTGAGATCATTCTATCTTGGGAGGACATATTCCAAATCAAACCTCGGATACTAGAGGGGAATAATTTCCTTAAGGGGGACACTGTGCATTCAGTGGGCTTGATCTTCTTTCCATTTTGTTCTTCAGATTCTGGTACAGTTTTACAGGTTTTAGTTTTATTAATTAATTTTTCTTCTTCACTGGTTTATCGAAACTTTGGTAACTTCGTGTTTCTACAAAGTTTCTGGTAATCAGTAGTACTGTTTAAACACAGATTGACTTACAATCTTAAGGAAATTATTTATTTTATTTTAATATATGTTTCTGGTGGAGACAAAAACCTTCGTGGTTTTATACTCATATTAAGTTTGCAATTTAAGTTATTGCTTACTGAGTCATTTGTATCAATGTTTATTACAGATTCTGAAATGGCAAATGATAATGTTATGGTGGCTGTTGCTGCACCAACCCGAACTGTTGTACCACAAGCAGAGAAACTGGGAAAATTCTTTGGTATGAATTTCAAAGTATGGCAGCAATGGATATTTTTCTGGCTTACTACTCTTGGTTTGCATAAATTTACCAATGAAGAAACTTCAGTGCCTGCTGCTGATATGTCAGACAGAGAAAGGTTCATGATTATTGAAGCATGGACACAGACAGGCTTCCTATGTAAGGGCTACATTCTGAGTGCTTTAGAGGATGACTTATATATTGTCTATAGTGCAATGACAACTTTGAAAGAATTGTGGAATGCACTTGAGAAGAAATATATGACAGAAGATGCATGCTTGAAAAAGTTTGTGATCGCAAAGCTTTTAGACTATAAATTGTCAGATAGTAAAATTGTTGGATCACAAATGCAGGAACTTCAACTTATTTTCCTTGATCTGATTGCTAAGGATATGGTAGTAAATGAAGCTTTTCAGGTGGCTGCAATGATCGAGAAGTTACCTCCTTCGTGGAACGACTTCAAAAATTATTTAAAGCACAAACGTAAGGAAATGAAACTTGAAGATCTTGTGATTCGACTCAAGATCGAGGAAGATAAGAAGGCCGCCAGAAAGAAATCTCGTGGGATTCGACAATAATGGGAGTTAACATTGTTGAAGAAGCTCTTACCAAAAGCAAGACGAGAAAGAAGTCCAACGGACAGAAGTCAGAACAGGTCAAGAAGAAATTCAAGGGTAACTGTTACAATTGTGGTAAGGTTGTTCACAAGTTTTCTGACTGTCGTGCTCCAAGAAAGGACAACGACAAAGGCAAAAGTCAAGCAAACGTCGTGGAAGAGATGTAAGATGCAGATGACCTCTGTGCAATAATCTCGGAGTGTAACTTAGTTAGAAATCCCAAGTAGTGATTTCTCGACTCAGGTGCCACTCGACATAATTGTTCTGCAAAAGAAGCATTTGCAACGTATACTCCTGCTAAGTTCGATGGAAATTTATTCATGGGGAACACAACAACAACAAGGATTACATGAACTGTAAAAGTAATGTTGAAAATGACATCCGGCAAGGTGTTGACTTTGAACAATGTTCTGCATGTTCCTACTATTAGGAAGAATTTAGTTTCTGCTGCACTGCTCATTAAGAACGGGTTTAAGTGTGTCCTAAGTTCGTGACAAAGCTGTAATAAGTAAGAATGAGATGTTCTTAGGAAAGTGAGACATCAAAGTTTGACGCATACATTCTTTTCTAGCCGGAGATAGAGGAAAATAGAAAGATATGGACTTTCTTCATATTGTAAAGGGGAGCAAAGCCTAATTTTTGCTCCCTCTATTGATAGAAAAAGGGCACTCCTGCCGTCGTTTCAGTACCTCACTGAGGACCTCTTCAAACTGAATGTAATGGTTGTTGACAATATTAATAAGAATTCTGCTTTTGTTTACTTATTGGAGTCAAATGATTTATGGCATGCCCGTTTGGGACATGCAAATTACAAAGCCTTGTAAAAATTAATTACTTTAGAAGTATTGCCTGATTTCAAATGTGATAAATCGAAATGTGAAATCTGTGTGGAATGTAAGTTTGTTAAACATCCTTATACTGTTGACAGGAATTCTAAACCTTTAGGCTTAATTCACACAAATATATGCAATATGAAGTCAATACCATCTCACGGTGGGAAAAAGTATTTTATAACTTTTATTGACGATTGCACTCGATTTTGATATGTATATTTGATTAATAGTAAGGATGAAGCAATTGATGCATTTAAGCAATACAAAAATGAAGTGGAAAATCAATTGAATCTAAAGATAAAAATGATTCGGAGTGATAAGGGTGGAGAATACGAATCTCCTTTTACAGAGATATATTTGGAATATGGTATTATTCATCAAATTACTGCACCTTATACTCCACAGTCAAATGATTTGGCGGAACGGAAAAATAGAACATTAAGGGAAATGATAAATGCCTTGATAATCAGTTCTGGTTCACCGCGAAACTTGTGGGGGGGGGGGGAAGCCATCCTTACGGCTAACAAGATACTCAATAGGGTACCCCGTAGCAAAACGCAATCGATTCCATATGAGTTATGGAAATGAAGGAAACCCAACTTAAAATATTTCAAAGTGTGGGAGTGCCTAGCCAAAGTAGAGGTTCCTTTATCCAAGAGGGTGAAAATTTGACCCAAAACAGTGGATTGTGTATTTATTGGATATGCTGTGAACAGTAAAGCCTATCGGGTTTTTGTTCACAAATATGATAATCCTGAAATTTATGTTATTACGGTAATTGAGTCAGATAACGTTGAGTTCTTTGAACACATTTATCCGTATAAAACTAAATGTGAGTCGACAAGTGAAAGACCTAAATGACCACGTGAAGAATTAATGAAAAATACATAACCTAACGAGGATCCTAGGCGTAATAATCGCCAACGAAAATCCACTTCTTTCGGACCAGATTTTGTGGCATTCTTTCTTGAAAATAAGCCTCAAACATTTAAAGCAGTTATGTCTTCGTCTGAGTCAACGTATTGGAAAGAAGTAGTCAATAGTGAGATCGAATCAATTTTAAGTAACCATACTTGGAAATTGGCTGATCTTCCTCCATGAAATAAACCTTTAGAATCAAAGCAGATCTTTAAAAGGAAAATGAAAGCTGATGGGACTATTGACAAATATAAGGCTAGACTAGTAGTCAAAGGATACAGACAAACGGAAGGTCTGTACTACTTTGATACATACTTCCCAGTAACAAGGATAACATCAATTAGGATGTTAATAGCACTAGCGACAGTGCATAATCTTAAAATCCACCAAATGGATGTCAAGACAACCTTTTTAAATGGAGAATTGGAGGAAGAAATTTACATGAAACAACCTGAAGGGTTTGTAGTTCCTGGTAAAGAAGAGAAAATGTGCGAGCTTGTGAAGTCACTTTATGGGCTCAAGCAAGCACCTAAACAATGGTATGCTAAATTTGACCAAACGATATTGGCAAATGGATTCAAGATTAACGAATGTGAAAAATGTGTTTACATTAACAACATTCTGAATCATAAAGTCATTGTTTGTCTGTATGTTGATGACATGTTAATAATAAGTAAAGATATTGACGATATAAATGCTACTAAGCGCATGTTGTTCAGCAAGTTCGATATGAAGGACTTAGGAGTTGCTGATTTGATCTTAGGGATCAGGATTCTCAAAATTCCTCAGGGACTAGCATTATCTCAATCTCATTATATTAAAAGAGTATTAGATAAGTTCAAGTACTTGAATATTAACAATGTCAAAACTCCAATTGATCTAAGCTTTACATTTCAAAAGAATAAAAGTGAAAGTGACTCTCAATTGGAATATGCCATAGTGTTGGGAAATTTGATGTATATTATGAATTGTACGCGACCAGATATAGCTTGTTCTATTAGCAAACTGAGTCGGTTCATTAGTAATCTTAATCAAACTCACTGGATGGCAATGAAACGTGTATTGGGGTATCTGAAACATACATAACACTATGCTTTGCATTATAATAAATATCCTGTCGTGATTGAAGGATATAGTGATGCAAATTGGATCACCGGGTCAAATAAAGTAAAATCCACAAGTGGTTATGTTATTACACTTGGTGGAGGAGCACTCTCTTGGAAATCGTCCAAACAGACATGTATCGCTCGCTCCACAATGGAATCTCAATTTACTACCTTAGGTAAGGCCGATGAAGAAGCTGAATGGCTCCGAAAATTCTTAGAGGATATTCCATTCTGGCCCAAACCCGTGGGACCTATTTGTATACATTGTGATAGTCAAGTAGCAATAGGTAGGGTAGGGAGCGTCATGTACAACGGGAAGTCTTGTCATATACGACAGAGACATAGTACCATAAGACAATTGCTCTCTAGTGGAATTATCACAATTGACTATATGAAGTCAAGCGATAATGTGTCAGATCGACTAATGAAAGGCCTAGTAAGAGAGGCAGTTGAAAAATCATCTAAGGGAATGAATTTACAGCTTAGGACAAGTCATCATGGTGGTAACTTTATCTAACAGACTGGAGATCCCAAGAGCTAGATTCAAGGAGAAAAACAAAGTTGTGACTGACGGTTCGACATTGTCAATCAACTCAATCCATTCTCATGGTGAATACAATGTTCAGGAACGAGGTTAAACCATTAAGGCTTGTTAATGAGTTAGTAAAGCTTAGAGTTTTTAATGATTTGCTAAGTTTGGCAGATTTGACCAAATAGTGTATCTACGAGATGACACGATTAGAAATCACCTTTGTGAGTGTGAAGTGTAAGCCACTTCAAAGAGAATTTTTTGTCAAAAGCCTATTCTCTATACACTCATAAAACCAGGAGGTGTTCATGGCTGAAACGAACACAACCGTAAGAATCATAAACGGTAAAGGGTTAATTGTGTGACATATGGTTGTCTAGGTATACACCAAAGCTCGACGGTTCAAAGGTATCGCATCTACCGATTGACCGAGTATATCCGACATATGTTCACTACGGAAAGTCCAAGGGGAAACCTACTTATCCAGATACAATTGATCCTTGCTTGTAAAGTACACACTCATCCATGCATTCCTTTGTGTTATGACAATTTCCCATTAATGTGGGGGAATTGTTGGGTATAGCAAGAGTTAATGGAAATGGAAGGAAGATGAAAAGAGGAATTGAAACAGATTCCCTTATGCTTTAAGAAAAGGCATTTCTCTCTCATTGGTGGTGGAAAGAAAAATTGAAGTGTTTAAATAGAGAAATACTTCTACTAGTTGTTAAAAGGGTTGGAAAGAGGGACCCCCATCGCGTCGTCGCCGTCGCTTGCTCGGCTTCAGCTTCGAAAAATGATCGATCGAGAGATTATTTTTGGACAAAGTTTGTTTTAATTATTTGATTATTTATTTAATTAATTAAATTAAATTGAATGCCTTAAAAGGGTTGGAAAGAGGGACCCCCATCGCGTCGTCGCCGTCGCTTGCTCGGCTTCAGCTTCGAAAAATGATCGATCGAGAGATTATTTTTGGACAAAGTTTGTTTTAATTATTTGATTATTTATTTAATTAATTAAATTAAATTGAATGCCTAAACGTTTCAATTATTTAGTTAATTAACCGAAACGTTCTGACCCGACTCGGATCCGCGCGACTTGTTTTATTTAAAACACTTTTCCGTTTTATTTGAATTTCCCACCGTTGGAGATGACTGTTCTGGGAGGTTGCAACTTTCAGGAACGGGCCAGGACCGTTTGAAAGGTTGCAAACTTTCATAAATGGTCGTGTGGTTTCTAAAAGGTTGCAACCTTTCGGAACCAGTTCCTCTTGTCTATAAATACCTTTGATTCCTCAGATTTTTACTTACGAAATTTTTGAATTGTTCTTCAATTCTTCTGCACAAAACTTAATCGTGTACTTTACTGCCGTTGAGTGGCTCGCTGACACCAGAGTTTTGGGTATCAATACACTGGTGATTGAGATCATTCTATCCTGGGAGGACATATTCCAAATCAAACCTTGGATACTAGAGGGGAATAATTTTCTTAAGGGGACACTGTGCATTCAGTGGGCTTGATCTTCTTTCCATTATGTTCTTCAGATTCTGATACGTTTTTACAGATTTTAGTTTTGTT